AGAGGTGTCGGGGTTGGGGGGAAGGATGGGGGATGAGAAGATGTACTAGAGACAGAGTGGAAAGCAGAGTAGGTGGATTTACTGAAAATACACTGCTAAGGGGAACAGCAATGGGTTAGACAGGCGAGGTCTGCTGCCCATGTGGGTTAGCTCCTTGGCCTGGGATGGAACTCAGGCCCTTGCAGTGATAGCACTGAGACTTAACCCCTAGGCCGCCTCATGGAGGCCCAACTTTCACACTTTTTCTTCAGACCTTTGAATCTAGTGAATAGGATTTCTTACAAAGTGTTCTGCCTTGTGGGTGTTTGAGGTCTGTACAATGTCAGTTAGCTGGTCTTCATGGGGGAAATGCCCTTTTAAGAGTGTTCAAGATAGAGCATTCATATTGTTTTGTCTTTGTTACTGAATTCTTCTGAAAGTGTATGTTTGGTTTTTTTGTTTGTTTGTTTTTAAAGATTTATTTATTTATTTTATACAAGCACTGGGTACAGTCAGAAGCACAGGAGGGTGAGAGGATTCACCAGAGCCAGAGTGGGGAACAGAACAGACAGAACGACGAAATACACTGCAGAGGGGAGCAGCGGGTGGCAAGAGAGGTCTACGTGCCATGTGGAACCCTCGCCGACGGCCGGGGATCAAACCGGCGCTGCAGAGGCTGTGGGCAGCTTCGCAGCCCAGCGCTCAACCGCTGCGCCACCAGGGAGGCCTGTATGTTTGTTCTGATAGGAGTAAATTATTTTTTTTTTTTTTGCTTGTTAAAAATATATGGGAAATTTGCATGATAGACTACCCAAGAAATATGGAGGAGGAACAATGATCAGGCTAGATGGATGTTACTTAAACCATTCATATTTTCCTTTTATCTCTGTGTTTTATGTTTTAATGTTGTGTTTTATATTGTGTTTATGCTTTAATGTTGTTTACTAATTACAGAAGTAAGACATCAACTTAGAAAGTGTAAAAACTATTTTTAAAAAAGGGATATGTAGGGTCTCCCTGGTGATACAGGGAGCCTCAGTGCTGTTAGCTATCGCCAGCCACTGAACCCTGAGTTCCATCCCCGGCCATGAAACTAACCCACATGGCGCAGCAGACCTCTCCTGTCTCACCCAGTACTCTCCTCAGCAGTGTATTTTAGTAGCTCTGTCTGTTCTGCACCTCACTCTGTCTCTGGGAAATCCTCCCCTTCTGGCCCAGTTCTTGTGTGCATTAATAAATAAACATAAACGTAAAAAAGTAATACTCATATTGCTTAAAATTAATGTGATTATAATGTAATTGAAAATTTGTCATTTTAAAACTTTTCATTGAGATATAATATACATATATAAAAGTGCACCTAAATGTGCAGCTCAGTAATTTTCCCCAAATTATAACTGATACCTAGATAAGAAATATTACCAGGTTTCTTGAAACTCCTTCTATCAGTGTGTCCATAGAATGAATAAGTACTTAGTGGCAGAGTTCAAACTTGGTTATTTGTTCTGTGATGAAAATGAATGAAGCAGGTTACTAATTTCAGGTTTGGTTCCGGTTGTAAGAATGTGGGTCACTTGGAGGATTCTTCTGCTATAAGCTTTACTGGGCTAAATATTTAGTGAAGGCTGAATTGAACTATATATACCTTACTGTACAAAATTGGAAAGGAAGAAGATACAAAGATAAACACAGTACAGAGATTTACAGTCTAAATTAGAAAAACATTACTTATTAGAAAACAGAACACCTAAATACTAAATTGTGTAATAGTGATTCAGAAAAGGAACAATTTTGATAGCCTCAAAGAAGACTCCTCAAGGGAGGTGGATTTGAGCTGCACTTTGAAGAATGGGTAGGATTTAAATGAAATGGTTGTAGCAGCACAAAGCATGGCAAGAAAGTAGAAGTAGATGATTATGACACACAGTCAGTGATAAAACAGATCAGCCTGTCTGTGGTGGAGAAAGCTTGTTAAGGAAAGGGAGTAAATTTGATAACATAAGATGGTACCAAATTACAGGGTGTATCATAACCTTGGAGTGGAAACTTGACTGGATCTCATAGGTACTAGAGAGCCACCATAAAGCTTTTGGATTAGACTTGGAGCCAAGAATATTTCAAGTTTTTTTTTTTCTCCAAAGATTTACTTTATTTATTTATGCATACAAGAACTAGGGGGTAGGCCAGAGCTGCAGGGGCGAGGGTGAGAGGATTCACCAGAGACAGAATGAGGAATAGAACAGGCGGATTGACTGAAATACAATGCTGAGGGGAGCAGCAGGCAAGACAGGAGAGGTCTGCTGTGCCATGTGGGTCAGCTCCCTGGCTGGCCAGGGATCGAACTCTTGCTGCGGTGGCTGGCCATAGGTTGGTAGTGCTGAGACTTAACTCTTTGCACCACCAGGAAGGCCCCCAGAATACTTCAAGTTCTGATACTGACTTCTGTTTACCAATTTACCAATTATGTGACCTAGGACAGACCATCTCTGAACCTCAATTTCTTTAATTTGCAAAAATGGGAGAAATATCAGTTTCACATATTGTGATGATATGTACCTATCCATCCATCCATTGGTCCTGACACAGGTCTTTGTACCAAGAAAATGAGCAATAGATTGAATTGCTTCTGTTGTTCTTGAGAAGAACAAAGGACAAAAGCAGTAGTATACAGAAAGAATGAGGGAGTCTACAAAATTACAGTTATCAAACATGTTAAGGGTCTCTGTAAGGGTAGTGGTAATAAGGACATTTGAGGGACATGAAGAGAAATTAGACTTGAATTCCTATTTAGGAAGAAATGTTTGGCCTTTCCTTTGATCTTTTATCAAACAGATAAAATTCCTTTGTAGTTTCTTGGACTGTATAGATACTTTAGGCAAGATGAATTTGACTTTTTAATTTCAGCTAAGGTATTTGAAGTCTCCTGAGAGATCCTCATTTATATTTTAGAAGTGGATATTAGATGGTTTGTCTGAATTATCCAGTTGTCAAGAACATTTGTGATAATAATGGTAGGCCTGATATGTTTGTTTTTGATGTCTTAGCAAATTAATTGGTACAGGAGTCATCTTGGAAGGATTTAATTTTTTAGTTTCTATTTAATGCTTTATAAGGAAAAAACTGCCATTATCAAGAAGGCTAGAGTCTGGGGCCTCCCCGGTGGTGCAGCAGTTGAGCACTGGGTTGCAAAGCTGCCCGCAGCCTCTGCAGCACCAGTTCCATCCCCAGCCGCTGGGAGAGGGTCCCATATGGCGCGACAGCTCCCCTCAGCAGTGCATTTCAGACAGTCTGCCGGTTCTGTTCCCCGCTCTGGCTCTGGTGAATTCTCTCACCCTCCCGTGCTTCTGACTGTACCCGGTGCTCGTATAAATAAATAAATAAATCTTTAAAAAAAAAAGAAAGAAAAAGAAAGCTAGAGTCTGAAGGAAGCTACTGACACAGAAATGTCTCTTACACAAGAGTATTTTTTAGGTCAGCTATTTTAATATAACAGCTTCTTGAAGTATTGTTTAGTTATTTTAATGTGGAAATTGCCAGAAAATTGCTAAATGATGTAGAAGAGAGTTGTAGCTGCATTTGTGTGCTTGAGAATATTTGTTTTGGATCAGGACAAGATGGGGAAGTACTGGACTCATCTACTAGATAATGGGAAGACTTTTGTGGGTAGAATTTAAAATAAATATTTTTTTTCACATTTTGTTCCTTTCATGTGGAACATACTAAACACTAGACTGTGGAACACCACTGAAGTCCCTCTATAAATCTGTTTAGGCTGGTGTCTTATAATTTGGGTTAGGAAAATGATCTGCTTTTATGTAAAACAAATGGGCCTGTGACACAGCTCTTTTTCCATCTTCCTAGAAGACCAAGGTTTATATATATATATATATGAAATGCTTTGAGCACAAAAGAAAACTTAAGGTATTTTTTTTTTAAATCATAGTTGTATTTGGGGAACTAAATGGGATTATAGAATTTGGTATAGATATTTAACATCAACTACAAAAACTTTATGGACTAAAATGACAACATAGGTAATAGCTTACCTTTCCCACCCCCCATTTTATTTTTTTAATGCCCCACGTACTGCACCACTGTAGCTAAGAAAATATCCTACAAAGTGTATTTATTCTATTCTTAGAGTATTATGTCCCAAATGGTGGCATTAGTTGATGCAACTTGTCAGTGCGATGCCCTGGCAGTTGACGAGTTTTTTCAAATAGTAAGTATATGACTTGCACAAGACCTAGACGTTCGCCTCCTGATTGTTACTGAAACCTGCAAAGGGGAACGGATGGTTGGCTTGGATTTAGTTGGATGTAGGTATCTTGTATCTGAGCGGGGTTGGAGCTGTGTTTTTTTGCAAGTGGTTTGATTTATCCCCTTCCTCCTTACCCCTGCCCCCTCCACTCCACTCCCGCCCAGGTACGTACATACCTTCCCGGTAAGCTCCTCACGCTCTCCCCCGCGCGGTCCCCAGCTCATAATTTCTGCGTCCCGGAAAGCAGGAGTTTCAGACAGCCTGCATGCATTGATGTGTGCAGCGGATTTCATATGCAAACTTAAATCTATACAAGATTATGAGGGAGACAGTTGATTAATCAGAAGATAAGGGCGAGGCAGGGATCTGGGCGCATTTCTTTACTGTCGCGAGTCTCCTGGTGGTTACTACTGTGGAAGTGTGAGGCACTCAGGCTTGTCCCCCCTGGATGGGAGCCGCTCCTTGTGCCCAGGCAGCGAGTGGGCAGGGGAGCAGGAGAAAGGAGGTGGCATCACCTGGCACGGCCGCGGGATGCCTGGCTCCCGGCTTTGGGGCGGGGGCCAGGAGAGCTGGGGGCAGCTCTAACAAAGAGGAGCCGCGCCGGGGCCGAGGCCGCGGGTAGCTGGCCTATCCCCGGCGGCTGACCTCCCAGTGGGCCTCGCCAGTTGGCTGTTCGGCGAGTCGCTCTGATGGCTCCCTGGCTCGCCATTGGCTGTGCGGGCGGGCGGGGGCTCCAGGGGGCCGGGTTGGGGTTGGGGGCGGGGCTGGCTTCCGGCGGCTCGGAGCGTGAGCGCGGCCGGCTGGGGGAGGGGGTGTCGGCGCCGGCGAGGGCTGCGCTCCGAGCCTGGCCCCCAGCAGCCGCTGCCTCCTCCCCCTGCTCGGAACCTTCCCGTCCTGCTCCCGGGCGGGGCGAGGAGGGCTGGCCTGCCCCGGGCGGGCGGGGAGGATCCCGGAGCCCCACGGAGCGCTGCGGAGCGAACCTCGCCTCCCTTCCCGGGCTCAAGGTGTGTGTGTGCTTTTTCCAAAGCAACCCCGACTTCAGCCGACTTAACCTTGTGAGAAAAGGGGCAATGGATTGGGAAGTAAGAGGACCACATCCCATCAGTTTATGTTGATATTTCTAATTCTAGCCTTCATTCTTCTTTCCCTGCCTTCTCACCCTGACGCAGGGTAAGGAGACTCAGGACTCTTACCTTTTTACTGATGTGTCAATGTCGGTCGCTTAGTAAAAAGAACAGAAGAAAAGAGCTCTTTCTTGTGTGGCATCTGATGCAGTAAACCGCAAAATTAAAAAAAAAAGAAAGAAAAAAGAAAAGAAAAAGCGGGGGTGGGGTGACTGCAAGCTAGGAGCGGGTTTTTGAAACTGTGCTGCATCCGTGTCCATTAAGACTTTACCATTTTCCTACTTGGGACTGCCTTAATCAGCAAAAACAATGTTAAAAGGAAAGAGGGAGCAGCCCCCGTCAAGTGGTAATTAAATGAAATCCTGATAGTTATTAGCGGTTAACTCTGCTAAAGTCTTCTCGAGTACATTGTCACCGTCTTTGTGTACTGCTCAGCCCTTTTGGAGAAACCCCAGCTATGGAGGAGTCTTGGCAAACTTACCTTGCCGTGACTGAAACTTAGAAGTCTTATCTGTTTCTCAGTGTATTTCTTATATCCCTAGGGTCTCCCAGGGATTTTGTTTCCGTGGTCAAAAACCAAAACCAAATTAAAAATAGTCCAGATGAACTTTAATTTGTTTACCTTTAACAGTTCCCACCCCCTGACTTTATGAACTTGGGTGTCTATAGCATTACAATGTAAATTTATCTCTTTTGAGTTCTTTAGCTTCTACAACTTAGGGGTGGATCCCTTCTTCCTAAAGGACACAGAACTCATCTTCAGCCAAAATCAAGAATCTCTTTATAGATTTTTAATTGATTGGGGAAAGTTATCAATTGAAGATAGAAAACCCAAAACTGGTGATGGTAGAAATCAAAGGTGTGTCTGTGTGTTGAGTGGCAGTATTCATGATATACTGAGCATTGTCAACTAAGGTGTTTGGACCACATTTACTTTGATGTTGATCAGCACAGAGCTCGAATGCACAAGGAAAGAGAATATAATTTTTTGGGCAGCACTATGGTAAATATTTCATTGAAATGATTGGGAATTCATTCTTATTATCCAGGTTGTTTCTAGTAGTTCTGACTGGAGTCCAATTTTGAAGACAGAATTGATATGTGAAGCTGTCTTTCAGTTATTGATGGATTCGTGTTTTTTCGTTGCATTGATTTATTGGCTCCCTAACAAATAAGGAGCAGTTTGGGGTGACAGCAAGTAATCTGAAGAATAGGAATGATGGAACAGGAAATAATCTCAGTTGTTGAAAATTTATAGAGATCATACTGTTTTTTTTTTTTTTTCCAAACCTCAAGTAACCTTAGAATTGTGCAAGAGTAATTTCACAGTAAACCTGTGTTGGATTTGGGGTTTCAATTTGTTATCCATTTGTCCTTTAAGAGTCCATAAATAATGTTTAAATTGAAATGTAAAGAGGATCGCCCAGATTTTGTCTTAACCTAACTTCTCACGAAGTTAGGAACTATTAAAAATCGCTGTATGAAAGGTTGTTCTAGCTAGCGTAGAAAACAGAGTTGTACTTTGATGTACAAAATATGGCAACCTGAGGAACAGACCAAAACCAAATCAAAGGAAAACACTTGGAGGCCATATTAAAGCATATACTACTTCAACTGCTGCTACAAAATACAAGTTGCCCTTCTGTTTGGTATCCTGACTAGGTGGTTTTTTTGTCTGCCATGGGTGACTTAATTCAGCTTTGTGAAGTTTTCTTAGACTTTGTTCACTTAATTTTTTATATTTCTATGAAAATCTGAACTGATTTGTATAATCAATATTTTGCATGGTGCGGTGATTTCCCCAAAGAATTTTCCCCAGGAGACAAAAGGCTATGTATAGAACTAATCATTGGTGTATTTACACTGATCTCCAAATATCGTTTAAGGGGGATGGAAATCCTCAGATTTGGTCCTCTGCAAGGAAACAATTATATGAAGCCATGACTTCCCATTATCTCTTAGATTGAAGTGAGTGCTGCTGAGGTTAAAGTAACCGATCTAATTTTCTTTAGCAATCTGTTTTTATGAATCCTGCTTGTTTTGTGAGTCACAGCTTGGAATGTGTTAAGAAAAAGGGCCCTATGTTCTCTCTAAAGGGAGACTCAAGCCCAATCCCCCATTCACATTAGAAAGTATAAAATGATCCCCTTGAGGAGATGAAGGAAAAGATTGGACCCTTGGCATTGTTTGGTTCTCCTAATAATCAACTTGAGTGTTGTAAGGTTTGGAATTGAAAAAAGCTTGCCCAAAGGTGAGAAAATAACTAGTGGCAAAAGACTGGGGAATGCTGTTCTCAATATGAAAGACTTACTTAGAGACAATGAATACATTCACATGGAGATGTGTCTGGTGGTAGTTTTTAGCTTTTCAGCTTTGTCAGCCAGGTGTCTGAGACAATAGTTTGTGTGTTTAAGCACCATCCACTCCCTCAGGGTTTGACTCTAGGAAACTGAGTCTTTTGAGGAAGTTGTTTGCAGTGAGCCTGAATCCTGAGGGTAGAAGACTTTGCAGAGTCTCTTATCTGTGTACAGCTCAGATAAAGATGTGGAATTGATTACTCGTGAGTTACTGAACTCTTCCTAATGAATGGTTGCTAGGCAAAGTGCATCTCAATCAGTTTAATCCTCGATAGTTTATAGGTCTCCTCTAGTTGTGGACCAGAGCTGCCTTTCTAATGATACTGCCCTTCAAGAACCCTTGTTGGATGTGCACGTATGCTGTTAAGTGGCTTAAAAAAAAAAATTAGAATGATGTATATATTTTACTTCATCTAAAATAATTTAGCTTCTGGTAACCTGGGTTACCAAAACATTGTCATTAACTTTTTCTTGGATTGAGTGATGTGTGGGATTCTTTAATATTAAGATACCATTGTGTTTGGTTATCTTTGGTCTTGTAACTAGTAAGGCAGTGAACTAACATACGCATTTTTGGAATCAGGCCAGTGATAATACTGCCCTTGGGCCTGGATGGATGGAAAAATAGGACAGAGTAAACAATCAAGGGCATAAATAATGAATCTTCCAACTGAGCCCTGGGAGAGTGAAGGAGATTATCTTCAGAGCTGTTCAATCTGCCAGTGAAAGGGGAAGAGTCCCCTGAATTAATTACCTTGACTCTGTCTGATACTGTATTTAAGGGATTGTCACAGCCATTTAGAGCAGAGTTGCCTTTTAGATATAAACTTTAAGCCCATCTTTTTGTTTGTTTGGTTTTGTTTTAAAACAAACATTTATTTTGTTCATTTATTTTATTTTAGAATCCAGGGCTTTGCTTCCTTTCCCAACTTTTTTCTCTGTGTCAGCATTCTGTGAACACTGATCAGCCCTTCTGTTTGGATGGATCTTAGAATTTTGCTTATCTGGACATGTTGTCTGTAAATGTATATACTGTACAGGGGGAGAAAGGGGAGACTTGAAAGCCTGAGCCTCGTTCAAAGGAACTTTTAGTACCTTGAGTATATATTAAGCTTTGAAATTAAATGAAAAATTGGGGGCCTTCCTGCTGGCACAAGGGGTTGAGTCGCAGCACTACGAAGCTATACACAGTCCCTGCAGCATAGCACAAGTGTGATCCCCGGCTGGCCAGAGAGCCTACCCACAAGGCGCAGCAGACCTCTCCTGTCTCCCCACTGCTCCCCTCAGCAGCATATTTCAGTCAGTCTGCCTGTGCTACTCCCCACTCTGTCTCTGGTCAATCCTCTCACCACCCCTGACCCCTGCACCTCTGGCTTGTACCCCAGTTCTTGTGTGCATAAATAAATGAGGAATTGTAGGGTATGATTGTATAACAAGTCACAAAAGGTTAAGCCAAGAATCATTTCCAGTATTGACATAAATATTTTACTTTTGGATTAGTTGCATCTAGTGTGGTCTCTTACAGTGGTTCTGTTAGGCGGTCCCAAAGCTAATTCCATACAGGCTTTGTGGACTCCACCCCCACCCCAGGTCAAGCCAAAGACACTGGGAACTCCAAATCCCCACCACCGGAAGGTGGCTGGACCTGAGGGGTTAAGCAGCCAGATACAAAAGGCAGACACGTGGGCTTTGGGCTCTCCATTTTGGGCTCTGGGCCAGCGCGGAGCCTCCGCCAGCTCTGGGAGTGACTTTGGTTTCCAGGTCGTCGGATGGGTAGGACGCATTAAAGACTTTATTTCCCTATTCTCCCTGAGTTGTACATTTCCTTATTCCTTCCTCTTGTAAATAAACCTTTATTAACTTTGTGTGTGTCTGTAGTAGATATCATAAGTCCTTTAAAGCGCGCGGGTGAGGACCACAGCCAGGAACCCGTTTAATATCGGGGTTGCTCTATAACAGTTCCAGGCATTTCTCTGAGGAAGGGAAGACCAACTGCCTGAGAATATTTTGATGACCTAGTGATTTGGTAGTGAAGCTAGTCCCAGAACCCAGGTCTCGGAATTCTTCCCACCTCTGGATTTTTTTTTTTTTTTAATTTTCTAGAGGCATGTCTTATTTATCTATTTGTTGTTTGTTTGGTTGGTTGGTTTATACATGCACTGGGTACAGTCAGAAGCCGGGAGGGCGAGAGAATTCACCAGAGCCAGAGCGGGGAGCAGAGCAGGCAGAAGGACCGAAGTACACTGCTGAGGGGAGCAGCGGGCGGCAGGAGAGGTCTGCGCGCCATGTGGGACCCTCCTTCGGTGGCCGGGGAGCAGCCGGGGATCGAACCGGCGCCACAGAGGCCGGGGGCAGCTTCGCAACCCAGCGCTCAACCGCTGCGCCACCTGGGAGGCCCCCACCTCTGGATTTCAAATACATTTATTTTTTTTCTCCTAGAATGCATTTCAGGGTCCCTATTAGAAATAATTTACAAATTTCCAATCTCTGTTCCGAGTTGTTTTTCTGTAGCAGTGAAGACAA